CAGAACAATAATACTATAAAAAAGACGTACAGACAGGATATAGCTCTCTTTTTCGGGAAGCTGGGACAGCAGGTGGAAGGGTGAGCTTTTACCTCTGAGCTCTGACCTCTCGGCTTTCTCTTTTACATTGTTTCTGTGTTTCTTATTTAATAAGACGGTTGGTTACATCTACAGAACTATATGGTTTTCTAAACATGGGGACTTCTATGCTTTGCTCATGAATAAATGAGCAAACATAATTAACAAGATTCTTCTTCATGAAAGCTTATCATCTCCATATTTATCTTATATATGGACATGGTGGTGGGTGATTGGATGAACAAGTCTTTGGACAGAAGACCAAGATACCAACGTCCACTTAAACTTTACAAAATATCTGTCACCTTGCAATAAAACTTAAATGTCACAATTATAAAGCCCAGAACACAGTAAAGTTTCAATAAAGTACACAATTACCATTGTCATTGTCCTCATTGAAAAGAAAACCACATGTTTCCCAGCCCACTTGGATTGCTCTCTGTCCCACACTCAAGTGGACCAGTGTGACCTGGCTTCTGGATGCCTTGTTAAGCTGTGTTCTCTTCATTTTCTTACTTGCTCCCTGTGGACAACCTTATTCCGTGGATAAAGAAAATGTGGTACATATACACAATGGAGTACTACTCAGCAGCAAAAAACAATGACATCATAAAATTTGCAGTCAAATGGATGGAACTAGAAAATATCATCCTGAGTGAGGTAACCCAAACCCAAAAGGACAAATATGGTATGTATTCACTCATAAGTGGATACTAGATGTAAAGCAAAAGATAACTAGACTGCAACCCATAGCTCCAGAGAAGCTAACTAACAAGGATGATCCTAAGGGGACGCATAGAAAGCCCAGTGAAGGAGAAATGAGATCTACATGAGCAAACTGGGAGTGGGGGTGGGTAATAGAGGGCAAGGAATGGGGAATGAGAACATAAGGAAACTGGAGGTTTGAGCTGGAACAGGGACAGAGTGGGAGAGCAAGGAGAGAGATATCATGATAAATAAAGACATCATGGTAATAGGGAGAAACAGGGTGCTAGGGAAGTTCCTAGGAATCCACAAGAATGACCCCACCTTAGACTACTAGCAATACTCGAGAGGGTGCCTGCACTGGTCTACTCTGGTAACCAGATTAGTGAATACCCAAATTGTCATCACAGAGCCTACATCCAGTTACTGATGGAAGCAGATGCAGAGATCCACAGCCAGGAGCCAGGCCAAGCTCCAGGAGTCCAATCAATGAGAGAGAGGAGGGAGTCTATAAGCAAGGATGTTGAGATCATAATGGGAAAACGTACAGAGATGGCCAGCCAAACTAGTGGAAACTCATGAACTGTGGACCAATAGCTATGGAGCCCCCATGGGACTGGACTAGGCCCTCTGGATACTCGAGAGAGTTGTTTAGCTTGAACTGTTTGGGGAGCCCACAAGCAGGGGTATCAAGTTCCATCCCTGGTGCATGAGAAGGCATTTTGGAGCCTAGTACCTAATGTGTGACACCTTACACAGCCTTGGTACGGGGGGTGGGGTGGGGGGAGTTGGACCTGCCTCAACTGAATGTACCAGGCTCTGTTGACTCCCCATGGGAGATCTTGACTTGGAGGATGTGGGCATGGGGGGTGGCTTGGTGGGGCAGAATGCCCGGGGCGTGTGGGGAGAGGGAGGAGCAGAGATCTGTGGTTGTTATGTAAATGAATAGAAAAGTTCTCAATAATTAAAAAAAAAGAAAAAAAATAAAGATGAAACAAATATTACTTTGTCATTGAGAATTGAAGAGAATTTGTGTCCAAGATGATATATTGACTAGTGGGATTACTATATCTTGACTATCAGCTCAGAAAAATGAACGAACAAACAAACAAACAAACAAAATTATGCCACTCCATTCTCTGCTCCTACAGTCTTTATCTGTCAAGATCTGGGCCTAGTGAGGTCCTTCAGATTTTCATCTCCCAGTGTTTAATTTGGTAAAGCTATTGTTACTGTCAAAAGCAAAGAAGAATATGTAAATGGGTGGTGAGTTTCCATTGATACCAATTTGACAAGAAAGGAGGCGGTGTCCTTCCAAGACTCGTCTTTATAGACTGCACTTCTCAGTACTCTGTGCTACTAGCCCCAAACCACAATGAGAAAACCATGGGGAACAGGCAGAATCCACATAAGGGAAGAGACTAGGACTCCAGTTTCTCTTCTAAATAGCTGAGAAGTCCAGAAATGAACTTGAAGTGGTACTCCACAGGTGAATGTTAACTTGTTTTCATATTGAAAGACATACTCTAAGTATATTATTCAATATTGGTAACTATAAAAGAAAAATGATTGATCCATTATCTTACCACCAATTTTACCAATCTATTTTTATCTAAGTCATTATCACTGAGGGAGTAAAACCAAAGCAACATGGCATGAACAATAGAGCAGATAATGCTGAGGCATTAAGATAATGGAGTACCATACAGCAAGGAACTGAAACAAATTGTACATGGAAATATGGCTGAATGCCACAATAATAAGATGAGCAAAAAAAGCCATATAGCATGAAATGTATACTAGATACCTTTATTTATAGTTTTCCTTGTTAACAAATTCAGAAAGGAAAGTCCCTAAAGAGGTTTAAAGTGTATGAGTTTGAAAGACATCAAAAGATAATATTCAGTTGGTAATACAAGTTAGGATAGAAAGTAAATTAGGTACAACACTTTGGATTCACCAAAATAGGATAGATAATGGAGTATTTTCTCTGGATTTGTCAAATGTTTATCGACTGGACATTGTTAATGTAACTCTTGACTATATATATTATATATACTTGTGTATATCATTTTTCTTATATTAGTTATAACCTTTTACTATTTTAGACAGAAAAGGGGAAAGGTGGTGATATATTGTATACTCTAATAAAATTTGCCTGAATATCAGAGAACAGAACAAACCACTAGATTAACATAGATGCCAGGCAGTGGTGGCACACACCTTTAATCCTAGCACTTGGGAGGCAGAGATATGTCTGGACCTCTGTGAGTTCAAAGCCACCATGAACTACATGAGAATGACTCAGTCTAAGAGAGAAAACAGAGCCAGACAGTGGTGGCACACACCTTTAATTCCAGTACTGGGAAGCACACACACCTTTAATCCAAGAAATGATGGCTGGGTGGAGAAAGGTATATAAGGCATGAGGAGACAGAAACTAAAGGCTTTTCAGCTGAGAACTCCCTTTTAGCTAGAGGCCTTTTGGCTAGAAAGCCTTTTCAGGATGAAGAGTTGGTGAGTTAAGAGGTGGTGACTTTGACTTGTTCCTTTGTCTCTCTGATCTTTCAGCATATACCCCAATATCTGGCTCAGGGTTTTTTATTAAAAGACCTTGAATTTGTGTTACAACATGTGCCAATGTTCTGTATTTATGATCACCTAAAACAGGAAGACTCAATCAATAGCATTAGAAGTTCTAGTTTAACTTTGGAAAGACAGGAACTGAGGGATTTCAGGGTGATCATAATTATTATTGAGTATTATTATATTATGTATTAATATTAGTAATTAATACTAGTGTGTACAGTAACTACATGTGTGCTCCTTTTGAGATACATCACGGAAGTGTATAATTATGTTCTCCATGTCCCCTGTATGTATGTCATACTTTAATCTTCAACTCATTTTACAAAATGCTATGACAGTGTTGGGTCTACTTGATAGTAATGAAGAGTAAAATGGGGTCTTTCTTAACTATTCCCCTGGTAGTTTGTTTCTACTCCATTTGTCTTCTGGAACCCCAGACTACTTAGGGATTGTTTGGTTGACATAACCCTCTAAGCAACTTCTTGAACTAGTCCCTTACCCAAGTCAGTCCCTTTCTAATATCAAATCCTTAAAGGGTATCAAGTTGATAATTTCATTTGTGGTAGTAACTTAATTCATTATTCCTTGCATGTGATACACTTGGATGAAGGACTAAGAGTAGGTGGTAATTTGTGAAAAGTCAAAGCAAACAAACAAACAAAAACACCTTAAGCACTTAAAATGTGAAAAGGCAACCATCTCATTCAAATGGCCTCAATTTTTATATGTGTAAAGAGATAGGTAGAATTTAATTGTTCACAGTGTTCCTTCTTCCCCTGTAGAATGATGATTATTTTCACTAAGGCCAAGGATATGCAACCTCTAGTTCATTACTCCATTGTCCCTTCCTGAGAGGGGTTCTAGGCAGAGACCAGGTTTCCTCACCGTCCAGCAATCAGGAGCTCTCTCCCAGATGCCTTCTTCCGAATCTTGGTGTAGAGATCCATGGTGAACAGGGCACTGGCACTGTTGAAGATGGAGGTCAGGCAACTCATGAGAGAGGCCAACATGACTGACAGCATCAGGCCTCGAAGTCCTGGGGTCAAGAGAAGATGCAAGCTCTGGTTAGTGGCTGCATATCCTTTTCTGTGAATGCCAGGCTAAGAATAGGGCATTGCTTCAAGACAATGGATTTGTCTGGAACATTGACTATTTGAGCAGATATCAAAATATGCATATAATAGAAATGCATGTGGCACTTC